GTTCATTAGATGATTCGAGTGCTTTTTTATAATAGTCGAGAGCTAATTTGAATTGATTTGTCTTGTAATAACTGTCTCCGATAGTACCAAATATTGTAGAACGATGAGTAATCGTTTCTGGTAAAGTAATATCTGCTACCGGCATCTGAGAATAATATTCGTCGTCAGATTCATCATTGACCGCAACGGAACTTATCGGTTTAGCACATTTTAAGGCTTTGTCATATAACTTCTTGGCGTCATCCTTCTTGTTACTCAAAGCATATATCAGTCCCATATTGTTATAGATAGACGATCGATCTGTGTGTTCCGGTGGAAGTTTATCCAGTAAATAATTATAATAATTTATAGCTTGTTCAAATTGATTGAGAAAATATAGATAGTTACCAAAAGTGAGCCATGATAATTTTACTCCAGCCTCAAGCTGAATCTGTTTCTTGATTATTTGATATTGAGAATCGGAGTATTTTATTCTCACATATCTAACACCATCGGGTGCCAAATTCACGGATTCTACATGAAATATAGCGCCGAGACGAAATACAACACGATCAGAATCAATGGTAAGTAAATGTATATCATCGACGATTCCGATTTCGAATAGAACTGATATAAGACCATTATTTACTGCCTTTCGAGCGATATCACGTGCTGTGAGAAGAGACTTAGTACCAAGAAGAAAAATACCAACATTTATAAATCCACCACAGCTAGAGTGAATCAATTCGAGGTCATCTTTTGAGATAATCTTCGTGAGATACACGGTGAGAGGTACGGAGACTGCCGTCGATTCGAGTACTCGTTGTTGAATGTCAACTAACTGCTTTTGTAATATGAACAAATTAAGTGGCTCATTCAGTTGATGAAGTCTTAAAACGACTTGAGAAAAATCAGGATACTGTGCAAACGAATTCAATTGTTCGTTATCTGTACATAACATATGAACATTCAAGTTGCTTTGTTGTTTACTTGTAGTTCTAGCAAATAATTGGTTACATTTCTGCACGATATCTTCGGATGTAATTTCTAATATAGGTGTTTGTCGTAAAATATCAATGAATAATTGGAACTTAATAAAGTCGATTTTTTTTTCATTTAATTGAGGAATAAGTTCCTTCTGATGGTCGATTATTGTTAACACATCAATTCGAGATGTATGAAAGTGTTGTTCTCGAAAAAACGAAATATCTTTGTTTAATTGTTTTGCTAGATCTTCTGAGTTATTAAATATTCCACTCAGTTTTCTCCTGTCAGTCGGATATTTAATATCTGATGGACGAAAATAATAAACTGCATGTATCTGTCTGAAATTGAGAATTGTTTCTAAAGCAGTTGTGGCTGTTTTGCCTGAGATAACAAGAAATATTTCTGTTTGCGATTGTTCAGTAATAAATTTAATACAATTGCCAATATCAGTAAACTCTTTCAGACAACTTGAATTGCTTACTGTGCTAAATAGGAAATAGTCATCGCAGTGAAAGATGACAACGCATTCATTAGATGGTATGCCAATCGGCATTTCGATGAGTGAGTTTCGTTCAACTGGAAATTGTTGGGTGTGTAGCATAGTAAATAATTCGGTAGATCGATTCCAATACAAGGATCTTTTCATCATCGTGTTTATGTCTTCCATGACTTGAGCACATAGCTGTTTCCGATCTAGATAAAGACCACTCAGCTTAGTGGACATCGAAGCCCAATCAGATAACGACTCATCATCTGTAGAACCAAATAAGTAAATTTTTTCGATACAAAAATGCTTGTGTATTAATGGGACTACATAGTCACCCATAGCTGCTGAGATGATTAAGAATAGGATCTTGTCTTTGATCGATAACGTATACGACATAAATATGAATTCATTCTCAAAACTTTTGAAATCACATATTGAAAATAGACTCTTGTCATCGAGAGTCACATCGAGACAAATAACCATAATATTTTGACTATCATCAAGTATTTGAGGTTCTTCTCTGGAAACTATACGGAATGTTGCACGAAAATAACAAGATGAAATGATTGATAAAATGACTTACTTAAATTTGTGCTCAATTGATCTGTAGTAGTTGATGACTCGCTCTTAACCATTTGAAACTCAACTATAGTTTCAGCTTGTTTTTGTTTCACACTAACAAGAAAATGGAAGATAGTAAAGTGATACGATTTAGTCAATCAAAGTTGGGATAATAAATCCTTACTATCATCCACTTTCAAATGAAAAGCAGAGAATAATATATTAGCTACGTCATACGTATGCGTTTGCTCGGTTGCAACAATTTTTTCACTCATATTTCTCAGATACGAAAGAAAATTTCAAAATAAGACAGCTGTGACAAGCTAAAGGCTACCGCAGAAAATCTGTATTGAACCAGAATGTGAAACACAACGGAGTCATTGGGTGTGGGTGTGGGTGTTAGTGTCTCTTAGTGAACACCCACACCCACCCTCTAGTGGCATCTTGACGTTTTTTCGTTCATAGTATGAAATTATTCGATAATTTTTTTTACATGATATAGATGTTGTGAAGATTACTTCTGTGAGCTATAGACATTAATGGAAACATTCCGATCAAATTAAGATGGACAACCGTTCGCAATAAATCCCATAGTGAATACTGCTCTTTCTACTTCAAGTCATCTGACTTTTGTCAGATCCATAAAATACTGTTAGCCTCATAATAAGCACTAAAATTGAATTGAAAGGGATCTGTGAGAATTTTCAAAAAACCTATTCTGCTAAGTTTAATGGATGTATCATTGGTTTGGCTTGTCTACCAGATGAAATTTAAATATTCCAATTATTTTTCAACTAAAGGACTACGCTTTTATCGCTTATTGCATTATGTTCAAATTTTTGAATCATAAGAAAGATGTTTAGAAATGCTGCTTTAAATTATTATTATTTGCTTCGATAAAATATGATGAATTTTTATGAGTTCTAAAAAGCACAATGTGAAACGTGTACCCCATACGTTCTTATGAAAAATTTGCATTCGTATGAGTCCTCATTATTTCAATCGAATAGGCTACTTATTCTCCACTTGCAGAGGCATCTTTCTAGCTGAGTTCGTTTTAA